TATCTGTATCTATAATAATAATAATAATAATAATATGCCATTTAGCAGACGCTTTTATCCAAAGCGACTTACAGTCATGCGTGCATACATTTTTGTGTATGGGTGGTCCCGGGGATTGAACCCACTACCTTGGCGTTACAAGTGCCGTGCTCTACCAGCTAAGCTACAGAGGACCACTCCTCTCTCTCGCTCTCTCCACTCTATCTGTATCTCTCTCTCTCCCAGTCTCTCTCTCTCTCTCCACTCTATCTGTATATCTCTCTCTCCCAGTCTCTCTCTCTCTCCACTCTATCTGAATCTCCTCTCATCCCTCTCTCTTTCCCTTTGGCCTCATCTTTCTCAGTATCAGACACAGAGGGTGTGTGTGACCAGGGAGCTCACCACAACCACATGATTGTGTGTGTGTGTGTGCCAGTTAGCCAGTGGTTGGGGAACCTCTCAGTCATGGCACACAACACCTTAATGAGCAATCAGCAGATCAGTGCGCTAACACAAGTCTTCAGGTCTCAGGCAAGGTTAGTCACCAATGCATGTCTAGTTCACCTAACTGGAGTTGAGCTCAGTGGTGCAGTGAGGAGAGGGGGACCCCTAGTGGCTGAATAACAGTATCAATACTAATACTATATCTAGCATTTTGACACTGCTAATAGGCCTATACAGGTCTTTCCAGGACTTAATAGGTTCTTTGCAGATTTATATCAGAAACTGAGACTGTAGCTAATGGACTCACAGCAGTCCAACCTAAGAGCACACATTGAGTAATAGGAGACTGCTCAGTGGAGGAAGGGGAGGACCATCAGCAAAATAGTGAAAATAGTGAATTTCAGCAAAATAAAAATAGTGAAACATTAAAGTTATCCTTTTTAGATAAAACATACTAAATATATCACATGTCACCAAATAATTGATTAAAAGACGCTGTTTTGCAATGAAGGTCTACAGTAGCCTCAGCAGCACTCTGTAGGGTAGCACCATGGTGTAGCCGGAGGACAGCTAGCTTCTGTCCTCTTCTGGGTACATTGACTTCAATACAAAACCTAGGAGGCTCATGGTTCTCACCCCCTTCCATAGACTTACACAGTAATTATGACAACTTCCGGAGGATGTCCTCCATCCTATCAGAGCTCTTGCAGCATGAACTGACATGTTGTCCACCCAATCAAAGGATCAGAGAATGAATCTAGTACTGAAAGCATAAGCTACAGCTAGCTAGCACTGCAGTGCATAAAATGTGGTGAGTAGTTGACTCAAAGAGAGAAAGACAATAGTTGAACAGTTTTTAACAAATTAATTTATTCAGAGAGAGGTTTGTTTGTATTTTTTAAAACGTTCACTTAGCTAGTGAATGCAGATAGCTAGTTTAGCCTACTCAAAATACCCGGCTCAAACAGAGAGGGATGCTATGTTAGCTAGCTGACTATGGCTAGCCAATACTGGAACTCTTCCAAGTCAAGGTAAGCTTTTGGTTGTATTAATGTATTGCCACCAGGGCCCGCCGTTGTAACTGCTAAACGTCTTTCTGACTGTACGCTGTACTGCATGATTGTAGTGCATTTACTAACGCACTAGTTCTAGTAGCTATGTTGACTTTGACGTGACAACGATGTAGGTTGTGTGTAGGTTGTGTTTTTTTTCCGGCTGGTCACAGACTGCTGATTTGTTGTGCACTGAAGTCCACAAGCGAAGGGAAAAGGTGAGAAGAGGAGAGTGCGTAGATAGTTGCTAGAAGGAATTATATATATATATATATAGAATGAGCAAAGTGATCATGCTGCTATGAAAGTGAACTGTGTTTGCGTATGATCAGGGGTGTATTCATTCCACCGATTCTGTTGAAAAACATTTCTGAAACGGGGATAAACATACCTGAATTCCTCCAATATAAATTAATTTGCAACTGTTGGACTAATGATTACACCCTAGATCAGCTCGATGCAGGCAGGAGTGTGCAAGGCGGTATTGAATGTGTCACTGTCTTTCCACCTTGATGACTCAAAATTCTCTCGACCTGTGCACCTATCTATGTTGTAAACTTTAATTCATAAGCTAGGTTGTAGCAACCTCATGATGGGTACAGGGAAAATTCAAGTATCATGTAGTAGCCTAAACCTATCAATGTTACATTGAGCTGGGTGAATGGAATATGAATGACAGTCATGCTCATAAAAAAAATTATAATCCTCTCTCATGTTAAACAGCACCGACCACCATTGAATAGTTTTTTTTAGCGTCTCTTGGAGGGTAAGTTGTTCATGTTGCCTGATAAAAAAATAGTAGATAATGAAATAATTCACCCACTGTTCATATGAGCTGTGTGTGTGTTCACATTCATGTGATTTTGTGGAACAGAGGACCCCTTGTTACATGATGGTTTGTTTATAAGTCCGAGATCATATTCAGAGCTGGAGGATATTGGTGTACAATTCGACAGTCATGAGTGTAGAGTAGAACCACACACACACACACACACACACACACACACACACACACATATCTAGGCCTATGTGTGTGTGTCCACAGGATGGAGACTGTGTATAGGCCTGATGCTTGGCAGGAAAGAGGGAGGAGTTGAGCTGGAGGGAGGGTTTCAGTGGTCTTTCAACAAAAGGTTAGAGCGATTGAGCTGAACACTCCTCTGGCTCACACTCACACACTTGCTCTCGCTCTCTGTCTCTGGTGGGGTGGAGCAGCTAGCCTCTTACCTTGTTCTTTGTCATCCTCCTGTCTCTCTGTGTCTGTGTCTCTCTGTGTCTCTCTCTGTCTCTGTGTTGGATTAGGAGTATGTAGTGTGGTGGTGTGACAGACAGATGGTAAGCCTGGTAGGTTAAGAGTTAAGGACAGTCTGCCCAGCTGCTGAGGGGAGAGGTGGGCCGTGTTGGTTATTTTAGTATCGCACCACAGGATTGGAGGGCCAGACTGGGGCAGGAGGCTCAGAGGGACTGGGACAGTCGGTTATACAGCCAGTACTGGACTGGACTGGGATACAATTGGGTTATACTGGGAAAGAAGAACTAATACTGGGTTGCTGTACTGGGAGAAAAGTCTGGACTATATTATTGAGAGAGTACTGCTACTGTGAGAATGGATTAGACAAGGACTAAGACTGGACTAGATTTAAACTGGACTAGATTTAATCTGGACTGGACTAATTTTTAAACTGGACTGGACTATATTTAAACTGGACTGGACTCGGGCATAACTCTTAACTGCGAGACTCGCTGATACTAGTGAGCTATCCTGAGCTGGACTGGAGTATTTCTGGGCTGGACTGGGACAACTGTCTACTACTGGAACTGCACGTCTCCTGGCACAGTAGACAAGGCTAGAGAGTGTGTGAGAGTGGGGTCTGTGGATACTCGTAGACAGAATAAAGGGTGTACTGGGAGACACCTGTGTCTGGACCTGTGTTAGACTGGGAACAGTGGGAGGACTGGGAGAGACAAACTCACTCCGGTAGGAACGTGTGTGTGTGTGTTTGTGTGTGTGTGTGTGGCTCAGTTGGTAGAGAATGGCGCTTGCAACGCCAGGGTTTTGGGTTCGATTCCCACGGGGACCAGTATGGAGACGAAAAAAAATAAATGTATGCACTCACCACTGTAAGTCACTCTGCTAAATGACGTAAATGTAAAATGTGTGTACTAGGGCTGTCCGACAAAAATAATAAACAATAGGACATCATGAAAATGATCGGAGAGGTTGAGAGTAGAAGAAGTTCAGGAGCAAAAAATAATAATAATTATATATATATATATAATATAATTATTGTAAAATTAACTCTGTCCATAAGGTGTAGATACTAAGTATAGATCGGAAGTAGAGGCCTGTGCATTGTTGTTCACTAATTTACTCCAAGTAGGGAAAGGATGGCGGGGTTGAAAAGTAATAAAGGGGAGTATATATATAAAAAACATGGGGGATTGGAAGTGATGCAGACAATTACATTGATAGAAGATACAATCTATCTGCAATATTAAGCTGATCCATAGTCGTCTGTTCTTTCAACCAATCGAGTGGTCAAAATGTTTAAACGTGTATTTTTCCATATATAGACACATCCTATGTGTTTTAATCAAATCAACTATATGCACTGAGCTTGTCTGATGCTTTAAGCAAACTGTTTGATGAAATAATTAAGACACACAATTGACTAGAGGGAGTCCGACCGCAATTGTTTTGATTGTGCTGGACCTGGCTCAAACTTGCTGCACTGTGTTAAAAAAAACAACGAGTGACTGTGTGACTAGCACCCGTTGTCTCTTACTCCTCCCTGTTGCAGCGACCACCACAGAACATCAATAGTGTGTATCGCGCTGTCCATGTTGCTGAAACTGCAACATAATTACAGCTATTATTGACTGAAAAGTTATGTTACCGAAATCCCTAATTTGTTTAGGAAAAACATTACTTCAACCCTTGCTCTCTTTACGTGACACGTATGCATCGCATGTGACCAATAGGGCCTGACCTATAGCATATGTGACTTGTTTCAGGAAACTTGGCATATGTCGCGGGTCACTACTTCACAGTAGAGCCGTTTATTGGCAGATATACCTTCTGGAATATGTGAACTTTTATGTGCCTTAGCATACAAGTTTGTTATTATCTGTGAATATGTATAAAATTGTTAAATTACAAGCGTAGTTGGTTTAGCCACAGAAAAATACCTCAACCTCATTATCTCAGCCATGATTGGCTGAGATAATGAGTGGGCTGGACATGCCGAGAGATGAGTTTGGATTGGTCTGCCATATAGCACGCTTCTGTCTATTAGGCTGGTCAGTATGTGTAGGTAATCCTGTCTAACGCTGCTTAAAAAAATATATACATCGTGTAGTAGAACTGCATAAGTGTTGCTCTCCACTTTCGGGAGGACAGAGTTTTGAAATCAGTGGAATTGGAGTATGATAGCTGAGGAGATGGAGAAAACACCTGTCTCCGGATTACATCTTCAAACTAAGGGCAACCATAGCATCCGTGACAGGGAGAAGCGTCCAACCATGATGTATACGGGTAAGATAGTCTAGCTATCTACATTTTCAGATATTACACGTTTCTAATTTTGACAGTCGTTTTCATTTCAAGTTAAAGTGTACTGTTAGCTAGCTAGCTACTGTTAGCTGGCTGGCTCGCTAGCTAACGTTACATGTATGATCTTATTATTCGTATCTCAGAGCCATTTGCTTTGCTAGTTATAGCCTAATGTTAGCTAGCAAACATTGAACCTGGTTGGTTATCTACCTGCAGATTCATGCAGGGTAGTAACGTAATGAGTTGGGGTTATGGTTCATTGTTTAGCTAGCTACATGTCTTAACAAAAAACTCCACTATGCAAGTATCAATTTCAATAGAATGACACTGCGACAACAGTTGATAGACGTAGCTGGTAAATTCGCTCTGGCTATCTACTCCGATTTCAGAGCACTCTCGTCTGAGTGTGCCAGAGCGCAGAATAACTGACGAATTTACGAATGCTCAACACCCGTTGAAAATGGCCGGTGTCAGTAAACGTTGGCAAAAAAGCGTAAATTGTTGCAAGCAGCACAGTTGCAGTCACCAATGCTCTGGATAACATAAAAACAGCCTAACCAGCTCTGCTAGGGTGAGTAAAATGGTCAGTGAGCTGTTCTCTCATTTGTGTCTGGAAGTTGCTAGCAAGCTAGCCAACGTTACCTAGTTAGCTTGGGTGCTTGACTGCTGTTGTTAGGACAGAACGCTCGGATCAACCCGTAGAGAGATTGTTGGAGCTTTAAGAGGGTGTGAGCGATGCTGAATGGGTGTAGACAAAGAAGAGCTCTCCAGTATGTACCAAAACATTGAAAGGCCATTTTCTCAAAAGTGAGGTTACAAGTTTATAAACTTTCAAAGCAGAATTACTTTCCCATTGTTCCTCCAATGCACTGTATGATATACAATTTTGTAGCTCTGTGTCTCTGCTTTTATCCAATGTAAAAAAAAATATTGTTACGGTATTAAGACTAAACAGGATGCGCTCTTAGGCCTACAGCTTGATGGTGGTTATACAAAGCTGCTATACTAAGCCTACTAATGATGACATTACTTATTATTATAATGATGATCATAATAGTAATAATAACAATAAGAAGATCAAGGGAAAAGGAGGGTTATTATTATTATTATTATTATAAATATACTTTTCCTGACAATTTGGAACAGTGTAAACAACACTAAATAAATTATAAATAATACCAGAGAGGCTGGTCTAATGAAAAAAAAGTGTAAAGCCTTTATTAGAGCATAGCAAAGATTGTTTCTCCGACATGTTGTGGTTGCCTGAGGCTTGGTGCTCACGGAATCAGTAGGCTATTAACCAAACACTCAAACAGGCAACAGAAGCAGGATCTAGGGCGGCAGGTAGCTTAGTGGTTAAGAGCGTTGTGCCAGTAACCGAAAGGTCGCTGGTTCTAATCCCCGAGCCGACTAGGTGAAAAATCTGTCGATGTGCCCTTGAGCAAGGCACTTAACCCTAATTGCTCCTGTAAGTCGCTCTGGATAAGAGCGTCTGCTAAATGACTAAAAATAAAATAAAAATAATCTGTCTTATTTCTGTAGATACAGTTGAAGTCGGAAGTTTACATACACTTAGGTTGGAGTCATTAAAACTCGTTTTTCTACCACTCCACAAATTTATTGTTAACAAACTATAGTTTTGGCATGTCGGTTAGGACATCTTTGTGCATGGCACAAGTAATTTTTCCAACAATTGTTTACAGACAGATTATTATTCAAGGCCTACCTCCAAACTCAGTGCCTCTTTGCTTGACATCATGGGAAAATCAAAAGAAATCAGCCAAGAAAATGGTAGACCTTGTCTGGTTCATCCTTGGGAGCAATTTCCAAACGCCTGAAGGTACCACGTTCATCTGTACAAACAATAGTACGCAAGTATAAACACCATGGGACCACGCAGCCGTCATACTGCTCAGGAAGGAGATGCGTTCTGTCTCCTAGAGATGAACGTACTCTGGTGCCAAAAGTACAAATCAATCCCAGAACAACAGCAAAGGACATTGTGAAGATGCTGGAGGAAACAGGTACAAAAGTATCTATAGCCACAGTAAAATGAGTCCTATATCGACATAACCTGAAAGGCCGCTCAGCAAGGAAGAAGCCACTGCTCCAAAACCGCCATAAAAAAGCCTGACTACAGTTTGCAACTGCACATGGGGACAAAGATTGTACTTTTTGGAGAAATGTCCTCTGGTCTGATGAAACAAAAATATAACTGTTTGGCCATAATGACCATCGTTATGTTTGGAGGAAAAAGGGGGACGCTTGCAAGCCGAAGAACACCATCCCAACCGTGAAGCACGGGGGTGGCAGCATCATGCTGTGGGGGTGCTTTGCTGTAGGAGGGACTGGTGCACTTCACAAAATAGATAGAACGTTATGTGGATATATTGAAGCAACATCTCAAGACATCAGTCAGAAAGTTAAAGCTTGGTCGCAAATGGGTCTTCCAAATGGACAATGACCCCAAGCATACTTCCAAAGTTGTGGCAAAACGGCTTAAGGACAACAAAGTCAAGGTATTGGAGTGGCCATCACAAAGCCCTGACCTCAATCCAATAGAACATTTGTGGGCAGAACTGAAAAAGTGTGTGCGAGCAAGGAGGCCTACAAACCTGACTCAGTTACACCAGCTCTGTCAGGAGGAATGGGCCAAAATTCACCCAGGTTATTGTGGGAAGCTTGTGGAAGGCTACCCGAAACGTTTGACCCAAGTTAAACAATTTAAAGGCAATGCTACCGAATACTAATTGAGTGTCTACGGACAATTCCTTTGACCTCATGGCTTGGTTTTTGCTCTGACATGCACTGTCAACTGTGGGACCTTATATAGACAGGTGTGTGCCTTTCCAAATCATGTCCAATCAATTGAATTTACCACAGGTGGACTCCAATCAAGTTGTAGAAACATCTCAAGGATGATCAATGGAAACAGGATGCACCTGACCTCAATTTCGTGTCTCATAGCAAAGGGTCTGAATACTTATGTAAATAAGGTATTAGTTTTTTATTTTTAATAAATGTGCATAAATATCTAAAAACCAGTTTTTGCTTCGGCATTATGGGGTATTGTGTGTAGATTTTATTTATTTAATCAATTTTAGAGTTACGGTGTAACTTAACAAAATGTGGAAAAAGTGAAGGGGTCTGAATACTTTCCGAATGCACTGTATACACACCTCTTAGTTGAGTACTAGGCCTACGTGTACAAAAGACACGTCACACCAGTCTTCAATAGATAAAATTGAGAACGTTTGAGAACTTTAGCAGGTCATTTCAATTTATGTTGTAGAATACCTTGAGAAGTCTGCAACTGTTGTTTAGTAGCCTAAATAACCTACCTGTGGTTCTGTACATTTCGTGGATATTTCTCAATTGTGTGTGTGTGTGTGTGTGTGTGTGTGTGTGTGTGTGTGTGTGTGTGTGTGTGTGTGTGTGTGTGTGTGTGTGTGTGTGTGTGTGTGTGTGTGTGTGTGTGTGTGTGTGTGTGTGTGTGTGTGTGTGTGTGTGTGTGTGTGTGTGTGTGTGTGTGTGTGTGTGTGTGTGTGTGTGTGTGTGTGTGTGTGTGTGTGTGTGTGTAAGGACTGTAAACAGGCAGAGGCCTACAGTGTTGAAGGTGTAGCCACCACACAGCCAGTGGCAGTAGTGCTATGAAAGGGGGGCCTGTTACACACATTGACCTCTAAACTATGCCGCTGTGGTCTGATAGGAGCTGCCATGAGAGAGATTACTTCATAAGCTTGTATGTAAATCCATTCTGTTCTCTTCTCCTCCCCTGATGAAATAGCACATGGATTTGCTACTCATGTTTGGAGTTTGGGGTGTAATTTGATGGATGTAGGCTGTGCGTTGCCATGGTGACCCAGAGCACTGTTATCCTCACTCTCTACTTCTCTCTCCCTTTATCTCTCTTCCTCTCCCTGTCTCAGTGCCTGACGATCTGAGTCCCGAGGAGAAACAGGAGTTGGAGAGCATACGCCGCAGGAAACAAGAACTACTGCAGGACATACAGGTAACATACACTTCAGTAGCGGCCGATGGAGCCTCAAACCATTACTGCCAAATGCAAAGCAGCTGATTCTGTTATTGAATGTCAATTTTCTCTCTCTGCGGTTTTAATTGTTTAAACCTGAAAGAGCATGTCCTGAGAATTAGGACGACCTCCTCCACGCTGGGCCTGATTTCTACTCGCACGGTATGCCCTCTTCACTGGCCGATCATGAAAGCGGTAGAGAAGGAGAGAGGAAGAGGGAGGGTGCTGAAGGAACACATTTGTCCAATAGAGCGTTACACTCTAGATCAGGGGTTCCTAACCGTTTTCCCCAGGGCCCCCTTATTCACTTTTGTAGTATTGTTTATCGAGATAGCCTATATTAAATATACCACCAGCTTGATTTTGTTTAATTTGAGGGGCCTATGCATTTCTGGGAGTTTTGAACCTAATTTCCTGCAATTCTACCTGGTTTTACAAGACTCGTGATATATTTTAGGCAGGCTATTTAATAAAAGTAATAATAATAATAATAATAATAATAATAATAATAATAATAATAATAGATAAGGAAAACAGTCTAGAACCGATTTCCCCAAATGTTATTCCACTACCAAATATGTTTTGTTATGATAATTTACAGTGGGGAAAAAAAGTATTTAGTCAGCCACCAATTGTGCAAGTTCTCCCACTTAAAAAGATGAGAGAGGCCTGTAATTTTCATCATAGGTACACGTCAACTATGACAGACAAATTGAGAATTTTTTTCTCCAGAAAATCACATTGTAGGATTTTTTATGAATTTATTTGCAAATTATGGTGGAAAATAAGTATTTGGTCACCTACAAACAAGCAAGATTTCTGGCTCTCACAGACCTGTAACTTCTTCTTTAAGAGGCTCCTCTGTCCTCCACTCGTTACCTGTATTAATGGCACCTGTTTGAACTTGTTATCAGTATAAAAGACACCTGTCCACAACCTCAAACAGTCACACTCCAAACTCCACTATGGCCAAGACCAAAGAGCTGTCAGACACCAGAAACAAAATTGTAGACCTGCACCAGGCTGGGAAGACTGAATCTGCAATAGGTAAGCAGCTTGGTTTGAAGAAATCAACTGTGGGAGCAATTATTAGGAAATAGAAGACATACAAGACCACTGATAATCTCCCTCGATCTGGGGCTCCACGCAAGATCTCACCCGTGGGGTCAAAATGATCACAAGAACGGTGAGCAAAAATCCCAGAAACACACAGGGGGACCTAGTGAATGACCTGCAGAGAGCTGGGACCAAAGTAACAAAGCCTACCATCAGTAACACACTACGCCGCCAGGGACTCAAATCCTGCAGTGCCAGACGTGTCCCCCTGCTTAAGCCAGTACATGTCCAGGCCCGTCTGAAGTTTGCTAGAGTGCATTTGGATGATCCAGAAGAGGATTGGGAGAATGTCATATGGTCAGATGAAACCAAAATAGAACTTTTTGGTAAAAACTCAACTCGTCGTGTTTGGAGGACAAAGAATGCTGAGTTGCATCCCAAGAACACCATCCCAACCGTGAAGCATGGAGGTGGAAACATCATTCTTTGGGGATGCTTTTCTGCAAAGGGGACAGGACGACTGCACCGTATTGAGGGGAGGATGGATGGGGCCATGTATCACGAGATCTTGGCCAACAACCTCCTTCCCTCAGTAAGAGCATTGAAGATGGGTCGTGGCTGGGTCTTCCAGCATGACAACGACCCGAAACACACAGCCAGGGCAACTAAGGAGTGGCTCCGTAAGAAGCATCTCAAGTTCCTGGAGTGGCCTAGCCAGTCTCCAGACCTGAACCCAATAGAAACATCTTTGGAGGGAGCTGAAAGTCCGTATTGCCCAGCGACAGCCCCAAAACCTGAAGGATCTGGAGAAGGTATGGAGGAGTGGGCCAAAATCCCTGCTGCAGTGTGTGCAAACCTGGTCAAGACCTACAGGAAACATATGATCTCTGTAATTGCAAACAAAGGTTTCTGTACCAAATATTAAGTTCTGCTTTACTGATGTATCAAATACTTATGTCATGCAATAAAATGCAAATTAATTACTTAAAAATCATACAATGTGATTTTCTGGATTTTTGTTGAAGTGTACCTATGATAAAAATGACAGACCTCTACATGCTTTGTAAGTAGGAAAACCTGCAAAATTTGTTGCACCTATTAATGAGAAAGCTGTACACACAGAATACAGTACCATACCATAATTTTGGAATCTAAAAACCTTTTCCTGTAAATCAACAGTAATTTACTGGCTACTGTGCTGCCTGTAATTTACTGTAAATCAGTACCGCCCCACAGAATACAGTACCATACTGTATCTTTGGAGCGCCAAATACATTTTGAACACTAGTGGGTGCATGGTATTGTTTTTTCTGGCTTATTGACATATTTTGTGGCGTGCCTTGTAAGAGGCTATATTTGTTGCACCCACTACATTTTACATTTACATTTTAGTCATTTAGCAGACGCTCTTATCCAGAGCGACTTACAGTTAGTGAGTGCATACATTTTTCATACTGGCCCCCCGTGGGAAACGAACCCACAACCCTGGCGTTGCAAGCGCCATGCTCTACCAACTGAGCTACAAGGAGTGCTGTACCAATTTAACTGAAATGTGGTAGTAGTTCCCTAAAAATGTAATGTGTATAGGGGACAGATGAGTGGCAACAAGTCTCAAACATTTAATGGTTGAGTGTTTAGCCATGTCCTTTTGGTCTGTAGCCCTTTGTTAAGGCCTCTACAAGTGCAAGTGATATAAAACACCAAATATTAATTGGTATGCTGTAATATATAAGCTCCTGAGTGGCGCAGTGGTCTAAGGCACTGCATCGCAGTGCTAACTGTGCCACTAGAGATCCTGGTTCGAATCCAGGCTCTGTCGCAGCCAACCGTGACCGGGAGACTCATGGGCGGCGCACAATTGGCCCAGCGTTGTCCAGGGTAGGGGAGGGAATGGCCGGCAGGGATGTAGCTCAGTTGATAGAGCATGGCGTTCGCAACGCCAAGGTTGTGGGTTTGATTCCCACGGGGGGCCAGTATAAAAAAAATATATATATATATGTATTCACTAACTGTAAGTCACTCTGGATAAGAGTGTCTGCTAAATGACTAAAATGTAAATGTAAAATATACACTGTGGCCAGTTTATTAAATACACCTAGTACCAGGTCGGAACCCCTTTGCCTCCAGAACAGCCTGAATTCTTCGGGGCATGGCATTTTTGCTCAATTGGTATCAAGGGACTAACGTGTGCCAGGAAAACATTCCCCACACCATTACGCCACCAGCCTGTACCGTTGACACCAGGCATGTTGGGGCCATGGAATCATGCTTACGCCAAATCCTGACTCTGCCAACAGCATGACGCAACAGGAACCGGGATTCATTGGACCAGGCCATGTTTTTCCACTCCTCAATTGTCCAGTGTTGGAGCCGCTTCTTCTTGTTTTTAGCTGATAGGAGTGGAACCCGGTGTGGTCGTCTGCTGCAATAGCCCATCCGTGACAAGGACCCCGACGAGTTGTGCGTTCCGAGATACCGTTCTGCACACCACTGTTGTACTGTTCCGTTATTTGCCTGTTTGTGGCCCGCCTGTTAGCTTGCACGATTCTTTCCATTCTCCTTCAACCTTTTATCAACAAGTTGTTTTCGCCCACAGGACTGCCGTTAACTGGATGTTTTTTGTTTGTCGCACCATTCTCGGTAAACCCTAGACACTGTCGCGCGTGGAAAGTCCAGGAGGCCGGCTGTTTCTGAGATAATTGAACCGGCACGCCTGGCACCAACGATCATACCAAGCTCAAGGTCGCTTAGATCACTCGTTTTGCCCATTCTAATGTTCAATTGAACATTAAGTGGATGCCTGTCTGCCTGCTTTATATAGCAAGCCACGGCCACTTGACTCACTGTCTGTAGGAGCGAACCATTTTCATAAATGGGGTAGTGTACCTAATAAAATAATTACACTGTTAGCAATTGCTGTAATTTTATTACAGTACAGTTTAACAATAAAATACTGTTGCTGTTTTGCTGTATATTTACTGCTGCATTCTGTAAATTATGGTGTTTTGTGAAAAGATTTTGTAGGAAGGGAAAGAATTGCTGACCTCATTAACATATTTCGAGTCGTGGCAATATTTGTTGCACCCGTTAGTGAGAATGCTGTACCAATTGAACTGATATGTGGTCATAGTGCCCTATCAATTCAATGTGTATAGGGCAGCAAGTCTTAAACCTTTACGTGTTTTGGCAAATCCTTTTTGTCTGTTTTGTGCTGTAGTCACAGCCAGTTTGGAAGCCTTTGTTTAGCCCTCTAGAGGTGCAAGTGATATAAAACACAAAATATTCATAAATATGTTGTAATTTACAAATACCTAGCAGCCAACCTGCTTGCACCAATCTCATGTAATTACAGTAAAATACTGGAAAAATACCAATATTATGAGTATAGTAGCATTTCTTACAGTATAGTAGGTTAATTCTACAGTTTTGTACTCTATCGTTGCTCTGATATTACAGTAACTTACAGGAAGCTGGTGGCAAGTTCCTGTGAATATTACAGTAATGTACTTGGCACTAGCCAAAAGGTATCTTGTTAGAAATACAAAATACCTTGAAGGCCAATGTATCCTTAATTACAACAAAATTCTCAGTAATGGTTACAGAAAGGTTTTACATGCTATGACGTGTTTTCTTATCAACCTTAGTTTAATGCACTGACTAAGTCGCTCTGGACAAGAGCGCCTGTTAAATTACCTAAATGTAAAAATTAAATTGCAAAGCACACAGCTGGGTATTATTCTGAGATCCACCCTTAGACTATTTGTATTTTGATCAAATTAGCCCTAGTTCGGGGGCGGAGCTAATTAGAATGATACCCAGGCGTGTTCTTTGCAAGTGTTCATTTTTACATTTAGGTAATTTAGCAGACACTCTGATCCACAGTGACTTACAGTCAGTGCATTAAACTAAGGTACCGGTAAATAAACAAGAACATAGCACAGTCATAGCAAGTAAAAATATTGTTACCGAGAATGTTGTTATAGTTAAGTGGGCTATTTGCAAGTTTATTTTTGTATTAGGAAATCATGCATTCTAATTAAACTGTTACAAAATACATAAATTGTAGTTCAGGCCAGTGAAATACAAATGACAAAATAGCTATTGAAACTATTGAAATACCTATATCAAATACATGGAACAGAAATACTGCCCATCGTTGGCACTAGTTGCCTGGACTGTAAGTCTGCAACAGTTTACTTACCACTGTGCTTCCAGTAATGCACTGTAAATTCTAGAAATACAGCATGTTGCTGTAGACAGGTGTTCCAGTAATATGCTGTACATTTGTGTTTCAGTAGATTTGATGCAATAACGCTAAATGGAACGGTAGCCAGTAGGTTACTGAAAATTACTGGCAGCACAGAAGCGGCAGGTAGCAATAGTGGTTAGAGCGTTGCGCCACTAATCAAAAGGTCGCTAGTTTGAATCCCCGTGCCGACTTGGTGAAAAATCTACTGATGTGCCCTTGAGCAAGGCACTTAACCGTAATTGCTCCTGTAAGTTGCTCTGGATAAGAGCGTCTGCTAAATTACTCATTTTTATATTTATAAGCCAGTAAATTAAATTCATTTAGCAGACGCTCTTATCCTGTGGGTGTGTGCAAACATTAGTATTAGTTAGTATTAGTATTGTGTTAGAGTTGAGTCTATTGATAAAGGATGGTAGGGCCCCAGGGGGACTGATGGGTAATGGAGTGTGTAATGTCCCTGTAACCAAGACTGGCGACCGTGGTGGTTTCCATGGTGAGGGGACAGAAGCCGGGGCTGTCGAAATGGTAACCCATACACAGATGAAGGATACATCAGTCAGGCGCTATGTGTCTCATCTCATCTCACCCTCGCTCTCTTATTCCTTCATCCTCCCTCTCTCTGTTGCTCTCTCCACCTTATTTATCGCTCTCAAGTTTCTCTACCCCCCTCTGACTGTTCCTCCTCTCTCTACATTCATAAAAATATATTTTCAATACCCCCCCCCCTCCTCCTCTTTGTTTCGTCTCTCTGTTTTTGTGTCTTTGATCTCAGTGGCTCTGATTAGCCAGCTAGGGGCTTAGATCTTGACCCGCCCTTTAACCTGACCCTGAAAGGGACTGTGTTTGTGTGTGAAAGGTAGAGGTGGGACCAAGTCACTATAATCCGAGTCACAAGCAAGTCTCAAGTCACAAGGTCCGAGTCCCAAGTATAATAGGTCAAGACTCGAGTCAAGTCCAAGTCGTGCATTCTAAGAGCAAGTCAAGTCGAGTCAGAAGTTTTCAAGTCTTAAATCAAGTTTAAAAAAGATCTATACATGCAACGACTTGTTCAACTCCAAATCTTTGTCTATTTATTGAGGCTACCAGACAGCCCTTTTCATGATTTAGTCTCCAACACATTTTGACTAGCCTATGTAATTGTAAAATATGAACCTTGTAGCAGTCATAAGGGCATGAAATCAGCAGAAGGCAAGGCAGGATGACGTGCTCAGAGCGTAGATTTATTTACAGGTCTTGGTGATCCAATGGTGAAAGCGCCATACAAAACATACAAGTAGATTTACCAAATATACACAGGCAATAGCCCAAAATAAATAGCCTCAGGACAGGTTAAGCCTGATACAATTTGAACAGACACAGGTAGAGGGCAACGCTGTACAGCCTCCCCTTGAGAAAATATATCTGTCTAACAGGAGCTTAAACAGGTAGGCCTACATAATATAAGCACTTGGCCCCCAGGACCATACAATTACCCAATTGGCAATTACAACCAATAAACTGGTTTTACAATGTAAATGGGAATTTCCACATCTATTGTTACATTGGTACATTCGTCTTAATCAGACTTAATGATTATTAATGATATTTCAACAACATGCATACATGGAACAATCCTTTTCTCTTATTCAATGTTCTGACTCCAAAGCGTGGAGCGAAGGCCACTGAGCACTATGCGCTCCTATTACGCACAACCATAATGGCAGAGACAAAGGACACAGACACACGGAACTCCGACATAACCCGGAAAATATGAACGAAGGAAACCGTACATTGAATTAAATAAACAGAACTTCTACCTCATTAATCTTGCGAACGTTCATGTGCACTGTAAACATTGCGCCCACTCAGAGTAGGGTACAAAATGGTTGGCTAAATGAAAATGTATTGTAGGCCTATGAAACAGAAATGTCTGTGTTGCAATAAATGGTACAGGGATGGAATGATGAAACGCTAGCAATTATTGTAGTATTGGATGAAATATAGATTGACCACATAGGGCCTATGTATTTAAATGTGTGAAAGCAACAGCAAACATTTCAACAAGAGAAAAAAGCCCTCTCCACTGGTGGAGTTTGGCGAGCGCAAGTGAAGAACCTCGCCTATGGTGCGTCTCCGCCACAGTAATAATTTATTTTAACAGCAAATTCCAAATGCAAGCTTCATAACTAAATGATCAATTTCAAGCAATTGTTACATACCAAAAGACCAGTAGGCCTATGCTAGTAATTGTTGCTCCATTGCTGGTGAGCTTGCAAAGTAAACAGTTCATATTCTTGATCACCAAACAATTTTTGGAGCTGCATATTTATTTATTATGGCAATCCTCTCTTCCTACAATTTTATGTTTGCGCTGCACCCGACCCTACAGCTGTATGCTACAGCAAATCAGCAATCTGTTCGCTAGCTCATCGACCTGTGTTGATTGACAGTTTCGCTAGCCAATCTATTGCAGGTTTCTTTTGCAAGGGCGATGCTGCGGCTACTGTCTCTGGCTGGTTGTAGAGTAATCCACATAGACTCCGTGCCACAAAGTGAGTGACGAAACATTACAAAACCTGGCCAGATAATTAAAAGTAATCAGTCTCAAGTCAAAGTCGAGTCCCGAATGTTGAGGCTCCAAGTCAAGTCTCAAGTTATTTTATTTTCTATCACGTCGAGTCTCAAGTCATCAAATTTGTGACTAGAGTCAGACTCGAGTCCAAGTCATGTAACTGGAGTCCACAACTCTGGTGAAAGGGAGAGAGAGAGCGACAGAGAGAGTATGATAAATGGGGGTAAAGGGTAGATCTGGGTCAGGTGAAGGAGAGTAGGCTGGAGGGAGGGGGGGAGGTATGGAAAGAGAGGGGGAGGGTTGTCTGGTTTGACCCTAGCTAGCAGCAGGTGCATCAGTTCCCAGTGGGACCATCTATAGAAGATTCCCCTACTTAGTCCTATGGGTTGTGTGGGAGGAGTTGTCTCCACTTAGCTCCTCCTACACAACCCATAGGACTGTCTCCACTTAACTCCTCCCACACAACATATAAAGTATGTCTCCTGTCAGAACCCTGGAAACCCCTTGTTCAAAGGCAGATATTTCAGTTGGTTTACTTCTTGTTAACACACACTCCATCTATACACCAATTACACATACACCACAAACTTCTCTCACTCTTCTCTCTCTCCCGCCTTTATTCTCCTCCCTCCCTCCCTCCCTCCCTCCCTTAGTGCCATGGGTATGAGGATTAGCTGAGGCTGCATCAAAGCTGCTCTGTGGGGTTGAGGGATGGTCAGACATCACGAGACAGATGGAGTAATGTGATCTCACTGTACCATACACTCATCTTCTCTCTCTCTCTCTCTCTAGAGGCTGAAGGATGAGATAGCAGAGGTGACGAATGAAATTGACAACCTGGGCATTACCAAAGAGAGGTATGATCTGTGTGTGTGTGTTTCCATGTCTGTTATTGTGATTGTGTGTCACTCTACTGAGGAATGTCCTGTGTCTGTGTGTTTTACCCTTTATGTGTGTGTTCTACCCTTTGTGTGCGTTCTACCCTTTATGTGCGTTCTACCCTTTATGTGTGCGTTCTACCCTTTATGTGTGCGTTCTACCCTTTATGTGTGCGTTCTACCCTTTGTGTGTGTTCTACCCTTGACGTGTGTGTTCTACCCTTGACGTGTGTGTTTGTGTGCGTTCTACCCTTTATGTGTGCGTTCTACCCTTTATGTGTGCGTTCTACCCTTTGTGTGTGTTCTACCCTTGACGTGTGTGTTTGTGTGCGTTCTACCCTTTGTGTGTGTTCTACCCTTTGTGTGTGTTCTACCCTTTATGTGGTGATGGCTTTGGGTGTAGCGGAACTGCCCCTCCCTATCTTCAGGCTATGGTCAAACCCTACACCCAACCCAATCACTCTGTTCTGCCACCTCTGGTCTCAAGGGCCGTCCCACCCCACTTGTCTTTTCCTACGTCTTTATTGAGGAAAGAATGACTCACTACTACTGTGATATGTGGTTGTCTCACCTAGCTATCGTAAGATGAATGCACTAACTGTTAGTCGCTCTGGATAAGAGCGTCTGCTAAATGACTAAAATGTAAAAAATGTTGGGAGAGGGAGAAGAATCATCCTTAGTGAAGAGTCCCCATACCCCCACCCATGGTATTGGTAATGATGTCAGTGATCGGGTGTGTGTGTGTGGTGGTGTCTGTGTATCTCCTTTAAGAGTGAAGGGTCTGGGCCAGTGGTTGCCTCGAAACTACAGACACCTGAATGGGTTAATGGGGCTGTTAACTGAGTGATGGTCTTAATAACATGTATGAAGTGTGTGTATAAAGGCTTTATAAATGGTTTACAAAGATTCTATAAACAGTTTACAAAGATTTTTCAGTCTGTTATAAAGGCCATTGGAATTGTGTTTGAAGGTCCTATGTAGTGTTTACGTAGGCTCTATGAATGTGTTAAACAGACTTCATAACTGTGTTGTGGCTGTAGGAAAAGCATGCAGAGAAACAAGCAGGTGTCCATGGGCCGCAAGAAGTTCAACATGGACCCCAAGAAGGTGAGAGAGAAACCCGATCGCAAACCAGCCCCTAGCCCCCACTCTGTGCTATGGTTGTGGTTCTGTGTTCTGATTGGTTGTGTGTACCATCAATCAGGGGATCCGGTTTTTGATTGACAGCGGTCTGCTGAAGAACACCAGCGATGACATCGCCCAGTTCCTATACAAAGGGGAGGGGCTTAACAAGACCGCCATCGGAGACTATCTGGGGGAGAGGTGAGAAACTGGTGGGTGGGTGGGTGAGCAACATTGAGTGAGGAAGAGAGTGAGAGAGATTGATGGATGACCTCTTAAGTGGGTTAATGCATTCTCAACTCAGTGATATTGATTTGGCCCATCTTCCCTAGAGACACACACACACACACACACACACACACACACACACACACACACACACATTGGCCACAGAAAGGAGGTCAGTATTAGGAGATTATAGATTATATTTGGGTTTCTGGTTGCAGAGCTGTTCTCTGAGAAATCTCACAAATGTTTTGAAACAAGGAGAAACAGAATGAACAGGAAATGCTCATTTCTGGTTTTAAAATGTCCATAAACCTGAATACTGTCTGTTGGTATGCGTTTTCTGTAGAAATGACTTCAATCTTGAGGTTCTACATGCCTTTGTGGAGCTGCATGAATTCACAGACCTCAACCTGGTCCAGGCACTCAGGTAACATACACACGCTCACCACACACACGCTCACCACACACACACACACACACACACACACACTCTTATGATTGCATGTCCTCTCACCCAGGCAGTTCCTTTGGAGTTTCCGGTTGCCAGGCGAAGCTCAGAAGATTGACAGGATGATGGAGGCGTTCGCCCAGAGATACTGTCACTGTAACCCTGGGGTCTTCCAGCACAGCGGTATAGAAAGGCCACCATTCAGTCACACACACACGCATACACACGCATACACTAACCTTCCCGTCCCTGTCTGTGTTCCAGATACGTGTTATGTGTTGTCGTTTGCTGTAATCATGCTGAACACCAGTCTCCATAACCCCAATGTGAAGGACAAACCCTCCCACCAGAGATTCACCGCCATGAACAGAGGAATCAACGATGGAGGTGACCTGCCTGAGGACCTACTCAGGGTAACTATCACACTCTATACTATCTGTATGACTTTCTCCATCCCTCTGTCCTTCTAGAAAGCTCTCTCTCTTCCCCTCCCTTTATCTATCTCTGTCTCTTCCACCCATACTATACTAGAGGTTGAGGACCTGGTCACACATGAGAAACCATCCTTTGTTTGCAGCAAACGTTCTCTCTCTCTCTCTCTCGCTCTCGCTCTCTCTATTCAATTGGCTTTATTGGCATGGGAAACGTATGTTTACATTGCCAAAGCAAGTGAAATGGATAATAAACGAAAGTGAAATAAACAATAAAAATGAACAGTAAACATTACACTCACAAAAGTTCCAAAGGAATAGAGACATTTCAAATGTCATCATAGCTATATACAGTGTTGAAACGATGTGCAAATAGTTAAAGTACAAAAGGGAAAATAAATAAACATAAATATGGGTTGTGTTTACAATGGTGTTTGTTATTCACTGGTTGCCCTTTTCTTGTGGCAACAGGTCACAAATCTTGCACCCAATAGATCAATCAAATCAAATTATATTGGTGGCATGCACATATTTAGCAGATGTTATTGCGGGTGTAGTGAAATGCTTGTGTTCCTAGCTCCAACAGTGCAGTAGTATCTAACAATTCACAACAATACACACAAATCTAAAAGTAAAATAATGAAATTAAGAAGTACAGTTGAAGTCGGAGGTTTACATACACCTTAGCCAAATACATTTAAACTTTAAATTGTTTAACTTGGGTCAAACGTTTCGGGTAGCCTTCCACAAGCTTCCCACAATAAGTTGGGTGAATTCTGGCCCATTCCTCCTGACAGAACTGGTGTAACTGAGTCAGGTTTGTAGGCCTCCTTGCTCGCACACGCTTTTTCAGTTCTGCCCACAAATGTTCTATAGGCTTGAGGTCAGGGCTTTGTGATGGCCACTCCAATACCTTGACTTTGTTGTCCTTAAGACATTTTGCCACAACTTTGGAAGTATGCTTGGGGTCATTGTCCATTTAGAAGACCCATTTGCGACCAAGCTTTAACTTCCTGACTGATGTCTTGAGATGTTGCTTCAATATATCCAGATGATACCTTCAGGCATTTGGAAATTGCTCCCAAGGATGAACCAGACTTGTGGAGGTCAACAAATGTTCTTCTGAGGTCTTGGCTGGTTTCTTGTGATTTTCCCATGATGTCAAGCAAAGGGGCACTGAGTTTGAAGGTAGGCCTTGAAATACATCCACAGGTACACCTCCAATTGACTCAAATGATGTCAATTAGCCTACCAGAAGCTTCTAAAGCTATGACATCATTTTCTGGAATTTTCCAAGCTGTTTAAAGGCACAGTCAACTTAGTGTATGTAAACTTCTGACCCACTGGAATTGTGTTAGTGAATTATAAGTGAAATAATCTGTCTGTAAACAATTGTTGGAAAAATGACTTGTGTCATGGACAAAGTAGATGTCCTAACCAACTTGCCAAAACTATAGTTTGTTAACAAGAAATTTGTGGAGTGGTTGAAAAACGAGTTTGAAACTTCCGACTTCAACTGTATATAAATATTAGGATGAGCGAAGTGGCATTGACTAAAATACAGTATATACAGTGGGGAAAAAAAGTATTTAGTCAGCCACACATTGTGCAAGTTCTCCCACTTAAAAAGATGAGAGAGGCCTGTAATTTTCATCATATGTACACGTCAACTATGACAGACAAAATGAGAAAAAAAAATCCTGAAAATCACATTGTAGGATTTTTTGTGAATTTATTTGCAAATTATGGTGGAAAATAAGTATTTGGTCAATAACAAAAGTTTCTCAATACTTTGTTATATACCCTTTGTTGGCAATGACACAGGTCAAACGTTTTCTGTAAGTCTTCACAAGGTTTTCACACACTGTTGCTGGTATTTTGGCCCATTCCTCCATGCAGATGTCCTCTAGAGCAGTGATGTTTTGGGGCTGTCGCTGGGCAACACGGACTTTGAACTCCCTCCAAAGATTTTCTATGGGGTTGAGATCTGGAGACTGGCTAGGCCAGTCCAGGACCTTGAAATGCTTCTTACGAAGCCACTCCTTCATTGCCCGGGCAGTGTGTTTGGGATCATTGTCATGCTGAAAGACCCAGCCACGTTTCATCTTCAATGCCCTTGCTGATGGAAGGAGGTTTTCACTCAAAATCTCACGATACATGGTACCATTCATTCTTTCCTTTACACGGATCAGTCGTCCTGGTCCCTTTGCAGAAAAACAGCCCCAAAGCATGATGTTTCCACCCCCATGCTTCACAGTAGGTATGGTGTTCTTTGGATGCAACTCAGCATTCTTTGTCCTCCAAACATGACGAGTTGAGTTTTTACCAAAAAGTTATATTTTGGTTTCATCTGACCATATGACATTCTCCCAATCCTCTTCTGGATCATCCAAATGCACTCTAGCAAACTTCAGATGGGCCTGGACATGTACTGGCTTAAGCAGGGGGACACGCCTGCACTGCAGTATTTGAGTCCCTGGTGGCGTAGTGTGTTACTGATGGTAGGCTTTGTTACTTTGGTCCCAGCTCTCTGCAGGTCATTCACTAGGTCCCCCCGTGTGGTTCAGGGATTTTTGCTCACCGTTCTTGTGATCATTTTGACCCCACGGGGTGAGATCTTGCGTGGAGCCCCAGATCGAGGGAGATTATCAGTGGTCTTGTATGTCTTCCATTTCCTAATAATTGCTCCCACAGTTGATTTTTTCAAACCAAGCTGCTTACCTATTGCAGATTCAGTCTTCCCAGCCTGGTGCAGGTCTACAATTTTGTTTCTGGTGTCCTTTGACAGCTCTTTGGTCTTGGCCATAGTGGAGTTTGGAGTGTGACTGTTTGAGGTTGTGGACAGGTGTCTTTTATACTGATAACAAGTTCAAACAGGTGCCATTAATACAGGTAACGAGTGGAGGACAGAGGAGCCTCTTAAGGAAGAAGTTACAGGTTTGTGAGAGCCAGAAATCTTGCTTGTTTGTAGGTGACCAAATACTTATTTTCCACCATAATTTGCAAATAAATTCATAAAAAATCCTACAATGTGATTTTCTGGATTTTTTTTTCTCAATTTGTCTGTCATCGTTGACGTGTACCTATGATGAAAATTACAGGCCTCTCTCATCTTTTTAAGTGGGAGAACTTGCACAATTGGTGGCTGACTAAATACTTTTTTTCCCCACTGTACATTGAAATGAGTAAAGCAGTATTTAAAGATTATTAAAGTGACCAGTGATTCCATGTCTATGTATATAGAGCAGCAGCCTCTAAGGAGCAGGGTTGAGTAACCGGGTGGTAGTCGGCTAGTGATGGCTATTTAACAGTCTGATGGCCTTGAGATAGAAGCTGTTTTTCAGTCTCTTGGTCCCAGCTTTGATGCACCTGTACTGACCTCGCCTTCTGGATGATAGCGGGGTGAACAGGCCGTGGCTTGGTTGGTGTTGGTTGATGTCCTTGATGATCTTTTTGGCCTTCCTGTGACTTTGGCCGTTGTAGGTGCGCTGAAGGGCAGACAGTGTGCCCCCGGTGATGCGTTGGGCCAACCGCACCACCCTCTGGAGAGCCCTGCGGTTGCGGGAGGTGCAGTTGCCGTACCAGGCGGTGATACAGCCCGACAGGATGCTTTCAAGTGTGCATTTGTAAAAGTTTGTGAGGGTCTTTGGGGCCAAGCCACATTTCTTCAGCCTCCTGAGGTTGAAGAGGTGCTGTTGCGCCTTCTTCACCACACTGTCTGTGTGGGTGGACCATTTCAGATTGTCAGTGATTTGTACTCCGAGGAACTTGAAGCTTTTCACCCTCCACTGCGATCCCGTCAATGTGGATAGGGGTGTGCTGTCTCCTGAAGTCCAAGATCAGCTCCTTCGTTTTGTTGAGGGAGAGGTTATTTTCCTGGCACGACTTGTTTTTGAATTCTTTGTGGGTCTGTGTAATCTGAGGAAAATATGTGTCTCTAATATGGTCATACATTTGGCAGGAGGTTAGGAAGTGCAGCTCACTTTCCACCTCATTTTGTGGGCAGTCTCTCTCTCTCCATATCTCTCTCTCTCTCTCCATATCTCTCTCCCTCTCTTTCTCACTCCATATATCTCTCACTCCATATCTCTCTCTCTCTCTCTCAATTTAATTCAATTCAATTTGCTTTATTGGCATGACGCAACAATGTACATATTGTCAAAGCATACTTTGGTGATTAAATGTACAATATTAACATTGTTAAAATAATAAGAATCAAGATTGTCAACGGGACAATCAGTAACAACAATAATCAAGGGGGAAAAAAACATACAATGGCATAGAGGACATGTGCAGGTTGGTTGGCCTGTACTTTGTCAAGGTTTTTCTAAGGTTTTGATTAGTAACCATGGTCAAATAGTTTGCCATGGTGTACTGTCGATTTAGGGCCAGATAGTACTGCATTTTGCTTTGTGCTTGTATTTACCTAATAGGTAATGTAGTTTTGTTTTGACTGTGTTGTAATTTGGTTTATTCTGATTCATTGGATCTTTGGTCCTGAGGCTTCAGTGTGTTAGTAAAACAGGTTTGTGAACTCAGGACCAGCTGGATGAGGGGACTCTTTGCTCAGCTCTTGGCATTGCAGGGCTTGGTAATGATATGAGAGGGGGTCACTGTATTTTAGATGTTTCCAAAACTTAATTGCTATTTGTTTGTAGTTTTCCCCTGTACAATCTTACAGAACTCTGCATGCAGGGTTTCAATGGGGTGTTTGTCCCATTGGGTGAAATCTTGTTTTGCAAGTGGACCCCACACCTCGCTGCCATAAAGTGCAATTGGTTCAATGACACATTACATTCGTTTTAGCCAAATTTTAATAGGTATTTACATTTGAATTTGTTTTTTAATGGCGTAGAATGCCCTGTGTGCTTTCTCTCTCAGTTCATTCACTGCCTCATTTAGGTGTCCAGTTGAGCTTATTTTTAAACCTAAGTAATTCTAGTGTGTGCAGTACTCAATATATTTTGTACCAATTGAGAACTTTGGTCTAATTCCCTGAGATCTGGATCTTCTCTGGAAAATGCATTATTTTTGTCCTATTTGGTTATACTGCCAGGGCCCAGGTCTGGCAGTACTGCTCTAGCAGGTCCAGGCTCTGCTGTAGGCCATGTGCTGTGGGTGACAGCAGGCACAGGTCATCTGCGAAGAGCAGGCATTTAACCTCTGAATTGTGGAGACTAACATCAGGGGCTGAGGATTGTTCTAGAATAGTGGCCAATTCGTTGATGTAAATATTGAAGAGCGTGGGGTTCAGATTGCAACCCCGCCTCTGGTTAAATAATTATGTTATTTTCTTGCCAATTTTTATGCTGCACGTAGTATTGCCAGTTGATTTATTGATTTAATAATGTTGTATGTTTTACCCCCTACACCGCTTTCAAAAACTTCCGGTCCTGTATGCAAAATAGAATCAAATGCATTTTTGAAGTCGATAAAGCAAGTGTACATTTTGGTATTATTTTGGTGGACATGTTTATCTATCAGGGTGTGTAGGGTGTAAATATGATTGGTCGTGCGACGTTTTGGTATAAATCCAATTTGGCTTTTACTCAAGACATTGTGCTTATTAAGGAAGTTTAGAACTCTTATAATACTACAGAAAACCTTCCTCAGGCTACTGTTCACAGAAATGCCTCTGTAATTGTTAGGGTCAAATCTGTCCCTGTTCTTAAAGATTGGGGCTATGAGTCCTTGATTCCAGATGTCAGGAAAATAACCTACAGTCAGGATCAAATTAAACAGTTTTAATATAGCGAATTGAAATTTTGCACTAGTGAATTTGAGCATCTCATTTAGGATGCCATCAGGTCCGCATGCTTTTTTTAATTTGAGTGCCTGAAGTTTCTTATAGAGCTCCTGGTCAGTAATTGGGGTGTCCAATGGATTTTGATTGTTCTTTTATAGTTTTTTCTAATCCATTCAACTTCTCATGAATTTGGCATTGTTCTGCGTTTGCATCAGTTTGAACGGTGTTGTAGAGTGTTTTAAAATGGGTTGTCCATATGTCACCATTTTGTATTGCTAATTCCTCTAGTTTTTCCAATTTTGCCAGAAGTTGTTTGTGTTTATGGACTCCTCAATTAGTGTCAGCTGCTTGCTGTTGTACTGGGCTTTTTTGGTTCTGAGTATATGTTTAAAGAGTTTTAAAGTCTCACAGTAATGAAGGCATAATTCACCATTATTTGGGTCTCTGTGCTTTTGGTTGGATAGTTGTCTAAGTTTTTTCCTTATAATTTTACAATCTGCATCAAAACAGTTGTCATCTGTGGTCTTTTTTGGTTTGTTTTTTATTAATTTCAGTTGTGCTTCTTTTGCCGTTTGCCTGACTATATTGTTGATGTTTTTTACTGCCAGATTGATGCCTTCTTTACTGTGAGTGGATGTGGTATCCAGAAAGCTATCTAAGAGTGTTTGGATTTTTTCTCTTGCTCTCTCGCTCTCTCTCGCTCTCTCTTTCCATATCTCGCTCCATATCTCTCTCTCTCCATATCCCCCTCTCTCCATCTCTCTTTCTCTCTCCATCTTTTTCTCTCTCTCCATATCTCACTGTAACTCTCTCCATATCTCTTGCTCTCTCCCTCGCTCTCTCTCGCCATATCTCTTTCTATCGCTCTCTCTCAATTCAACTCTCTCTCCATATCTCTCTCTCCATATCTCTTTCTCAATTCAATTAAACTCTCTCTCTCCATCTCTTTCTATCTCTCCCTCACTCACTCTCTCTCTCAATCTCTTTCTCCATATCTCTCTCTCTCTCTCTTTCCATATCTCTCTCTCTCTCCATATCTCTCTCTCTCCATACCTCTCTCTCTCTCCATATCTCACTGTATCTCTATCCCTCTCTCTCTCGCTCTCTCCCTCGCTCTCTCTCTCGCCATATCTCTCTCTATCGCTCTCTCTCTCAATTCAACTCAATCTATATCTCTCTCTCCATATCTCTCCCTCTCCATATCTCTCTCCATATCTCTCTCTCTCCATATTTCTCTCTTTCCATATCTCTTTCTCTCCGTATCCCCCTCTCTCTATATATAAATATATATATATATATATCTCTCTCTCTCTCTCTCTCTCTGTCTCTGTCTCTCTGTGTCTGTCGTCTGTCTGTCTGTCTGTCTGTAGAACCTGTATGAGGGTATAAAGAATGAGCCCTTTAAGATCCCAGAGGATGATGGGAATGACCTCACACACACTTTCTTCAACCCCGACCGGGAGGGTTGGCTACTCAAACGAGGTGAGAGAGTCAACTTTGCTGTAAAAGTCTAGTAGAGCACAGGACAGCTAGTTTTATTAATGCTTCTACTCCCTCGGGTGGACAGATGTAGAACTACACTCTCCTGTTTGGCCTTCTCATTCATACCAAGAATATAGCCTATATAATGAGTATAAAAATATATAATGGGTATAAGTATTTATGACTCAATGTAGTTTGACTTTGTGTTTTTTCTTCCTCATTTGTTTTGGGTGATTTTGGTCTCCAGGAGGTATGTAAATATGTATGGATTGGAAACCTGACGCCTCGATCACACCGACAGCGTCATTGCATTTTGGTACACCAGAAGTACATTCATTTCCGATGGGAATGCTGCGTTTGCCTTGCAGCATTGCATTGCAGAGGCAGTTGCAGTGCGTTCTGTGTGGTGCATACGTTGGATTTATCGAACGTATGCGTCAAACTGTATGCGTAGACGGCTTGACAGAAATGGTAGCAGAAGGTGAATGTTGAACTTTGTTGCACACATATCCAGATGATTCTGCATACTATTTTGCGCAATAATACTATCGGTGTGATCAAGGCGTTACCCTCCTCAGCCTCTGTGCTTTGCTTCATGGTACTGCTTCCTATACTCTGCCATGCTACCCAAAGCTTTGTCCAATGAAAATCTACTGTTAACTATGATTTCATTATAAAGAATGAAAGAATTGTTGGTAAAATGGGATTTATCTGCTCTTTAATCTGTGCAAGATGTCATTGACCTCAACGCAAATAACCTTTAAACCTAACCCTACCATCCAATCAGTATCTCAACCATAGAGATATATAGAGGACTCTAGTGCTCAAAATCCAGTTTCAGCGCGGGCAGCGCCATTGAGGACTACCATTTTGAATTAGTCAACTGGGTGGGACTTCCTATGGGTTAAGGAAGGATCACATAATTCCATCCGGGTCATCAGGAGGGATCAGCCAATTAATTATACTTGTGAGCAAACGTTCCATAACTGCAGGTGGCAGTAAATCGCCAACCTTGGCTTTATACCAGTTCAAGTAACACACTCCAGGTGGCAGTATGCAAACTTTTAGTTTGTTTACCAACTCATAGAAGTAGTAGAAGAAGAATATGTACTACTTCAAAATAGAGATGGCCTCAATGGCGCTGCCTGTGCGCTCACAGACGCCATAATGGGACAGATACAAAGAAGACTCCTCTATCATTCTGTATGATCTCAACTAATGCATTGCATTCATGGTCGACTTTGTTGCCGTCATGCTGTGTCTTCTGAGAAGCATGACTGCATTAAAGACGACTTGGAACGCGTCCATAGGCTCCTTCCTGGTACTGGCTGTCTGTGCTGCCATCTGTCTGTCTGGACCGTCTAGGGGCACCTTTTAATCTGTGCATTTTGCTTGTTCTGACCCTTTCATTTTATGAATCCTGATTGAACTCTGACCTTTAACCTCTAACCCCCTCAGGAGGGCGCGTGAAGACGTGGAAGAGACGATGGTTCATCCTCACAGACAACTGCCTGTACTACTTTGAGTACACTACTGTGAGTTGTTTTCTCTCTCTGTCTATTCCTCGCTCTTTTTCTGTTATGCTTTTTTCTCCATTACATTCAATGTACCAGTTGTGAGCTGTAATGCTCTCTCCTTGTTTCTTTCTCCTGGTTTCTCTCTCCTGGTTTCTCCTCCCTCCCTCTCTCCAGGATAAGGAGCCTAGGGGTATCATCCCTCTGGAGAATCTGAGTATTAGAGAGGTGGACGACTCCAAGAAAGCAGTAAGTTACTCTCTCTTTCCCTGTGCTCTTTCTCCAGCTTTTCTCCCTGTTTCCTTTTAGAAGCCTTCTGAGTCACATCTCTCTCTCTCTCTCTCTCTCTCTCTCTCTCTCTCTCTCTCTCTCTCTCTCTCTCTCTCTCTCTCTCTCTCTCTCTCTCTCTCTCTCTCTCTCTCTCTCTCTCTCTCTCTCTCTCTCTCTCTCTCTCTCTCTCTCTCTCTCTCTCTCTCTCTCTCTCTCTCTCAGAACTGTTTTGAGCTGTTCATCCCAGACCACAGGGATCAGGTGATCAAGGCGTGTAAGACCGAGGCGGACGGACGTGTTGTCGAGGGCAACCACACCTTCTATCGAATCTCCGCCCCCACAGCCGAGGAAAAGGAGGAGTGGATCACCAGCATCAAGTGAATTCTTGGCGGTGTCCCAATAACCTCTCCTTCTTCCTGAAGTGTACATACATTCACATTGGATTGGTGTAGGCATGGGCTAGAGGGACTTTCCATATACCAGTCATTTACTTTCAAATCCATTCAGGGAAGTGAACAAGTGCACACTTTGGGAGAAAGGAGAGAGTTTTGGGACTAAAGTCTTATTTCTTACTTCCAAGTCATGTCCTATCCTTCCTCTATGCGATCCTGCTCTAGTATCATGCCAAAAATGAAAATTCATATTGCTCTCCCCTCTCTTAATGTAGAAAAGCCATCAGCAGGGACCCCTTCTACGAGATGCTGGCAGCCCGGAAGAAAAAGGTGTCTGCCCTGACAAGCCTGTAGGAAAGACCCAGGCTCCAGCACTTCAGCAGGAGGAGCAGGCCTCACTCTACTCTACAACCCAGTGTTTGTGCCCATGGACCTGAACTAAAGGACCTATGGAACTGTGTACACAAGAAAGCAGAAGATCCCCAAAGCCTGTTGAAAGTCTAGGTGGAAGCTGTCATCATATTGATCTTGCTTTCTTCAGATTCACAAACACTGGAGTGAAAGGATTATGAAGGGGCACAGGTTTGGGACAGAGATCAGGAATGCAGAGAGGATTAGATTTCCTTTTTCAGCGCCCTCTACAGGAAGTTACGTCATGCAATATTATGCTTTGATACAAAATTAACAGAGGAAGGTAACATAAATCTATTTTTACACAAACCTCTTTTTCTGAGGGTTCTTCTCATAGTGCTGTTGTTACTACAGAGCATAATCTCTTTCTGAATAGTTCCCATAACAAACCACCACTGTTTCTCCTTTCTCTCTCTCTGTCTTTCTTTCTTTGTTTCCATGTTTGTTTACATTTACATTTTAGTCATTTAGCAGATACTCTTATCCAGAGCGACTTACAGTTAGTGAGTGCATACATTAAATTAAATTGTGTCCGGGTAATTGGCAGGGCTGGGAATTGCCAGGGACTGACCTCACGATGCAATATCACGCTACTTAGCTGCCGATACGATATGTATTGCGATTATCATGATTCTATATTGAGATTTTATTGCGATTTGATGTTCTAAACATATTTCTCATGAAATGTCTGCTGCAGAGGGACAAGAGAGCCATGAGAAAACGAGTTCACTAGTAATTGGGCTGTGTCAGTGATCTGGGGCTTGAGATATGGGAGCTGAGTCAGCAGAATAGTTGAAAAAATCTGTCTCTGCCCAAAGCCTGTCTGCCCAAAGCCTGTCTCTGCCATCACTGTATTAGTTCTGCTCTTCATTTAGTTTTGATACCTCTGTTACTACAACTGCAGAGTGGAATGAGGAGGAATGGCACACAAAGGAAGGGTTGAAATATTCAGTGTTTTATTCTGATATGGTGACAATTAAAAGTACGTTTGCAGAGAAAGTGAATAAATAAAATACCTTATTACAGTTGTCTGTTAAATGTGTTATCATATGAGATGCATTTCTGTCATATCAATGTGCTCTTTGGAGGGCTGTGTTTTAGTTTTTATATTGGCAAATAAATTAATCGCCAATTGTTTTGTTCTCAATGCACTGATTTATGAAACGCAAGTCAAGCTTGAATTATATTAGTTTATTTACCAATAATGCATATCATTCATTGTGAAGGTTTTGTATCAAAAAGGTTTGTGCTGTTTATACCCTTATGCCATCATGTTTTTCTTCATTTGATTTCAGATTACCAGAAATAAATCTCTGATGCTAGTCTCATTTTTCCTTTCTTTGGTTAAGATTTGACTTGAAAAGTGAGGTTAACTTATTATTTTTTACATTGGATATAACCACACTAGACACAAAGAGAGACAGTGATATAGAGGGAAAAAAGTATTTGATCCCCTGCTGATTTTGTACGTTTGCCCACTGACAAAGAAATTATCAGTCTATAATTTTAATGGTAGGTTTATTTGAACAGTGAGAGACAGAATAACAACAAAAAAATCCAGAAAACGCATCTCAAAAATGTTATAAATTGATTTGCATTTTAATGAGGGAAATAAGTATTTGACCCCCTCTCAATCAGAACGATTTCTGGCTCCCAGGTGTCTTTTATACAGGTAACAAACTGAGATTAGGAGCACACTCTTAAAGGGAGTGCTCCTAATCTCAGTTTGTTACCTGTATAAAAGACACCTGTCCACAGAAGCAATCAATCACTCAGATTCCAAACTCTCCACCATGGCCAAGACCAAAGAGCTCTCCAAGGATGTCAGGGACAAGATTGTAGACCTACACAAGGCTGGAATGGGCTACAAGACCATCGCCAAGCAGCTTGGTGTGATTATTCGCAAATGGAAGAAACACAAAATAACTGTCAATCTCCCTCGGCCTGGGGCTCCATGCAAGATCTCACCTCGTGGAGTTGCAATGATCATGAGAACGGTGAGGAATCAGCCCAGAACTACAAGGGAGGATCTTGTCAATGATCTCAAGGCAGCTGGGACCATAGTCACCAAGAAAACAATTGGTAACACTACACCGTGAAGGACTGAAATCCTGCAGCGCCCGCAAGGTCCCCCTGCTCAAGAAAGCACATATACAGGCCCGTCTGAAGTTTGCCAATGAACATCTGAATGATTCAGAGGAGAACTGGGTGAAAGTGTTGTGGTCAGATGAGACCAAAATCGAGCTCTTTGGCATCAACTCAACTCGCCATGTTTGGAGGAGAAGGAATGCTGCCTATGACCCCAAGAACACCATCCCCACCGTCAAACATGGAGGTGGAAACATTATGCTTTGGGGGTGTTTTTCTGCTAAGGGGACAGGACAACTTCACCGCATCAAAGGGACGATGGACGGGGCCATGTACCATCAAATCTTGGGTAACCTCCTTCCCTCAGCTAGGGCATTGAAAATGGGTCGTGGATGGGTATTCCAGCATGACAATGACCCAAAGCACACGGCCAAGGCAACAAAGTAGTGGCTCAAGAAGAAGCACATTAAGGTCCTGGAGTGGCCTAGCCAGTCTCCAGACCTTAATCCCATAGTAAATCTGTGGAGGGAGCTGAAGGTTCGAGTTGCCAAACGTCAACCTCGAAACCTTAATGACTTGGAGAAGATCTGCAAAGAGGAGTGGGACAAAATCCCTCCTGAGATGTGTGCAAACCTGGTGGCCAACTACAAGAAACATCTGACCTCTGTGATTGCCAACAAGGGTTTTGCCACCAAGTACTAAGTCATGTTTTGCAGAGGGGTCAAATACTTATTTCCCTCATTAAAATGCAAATCAATTTATAACATTTTTTACATGCGTTTTTCTGGATTTTGTTGTTGTTATTCTGTCTCTCACTGTTCAAATAAACCTACCATTAAAATTATAGACTGATCATGTCTTTGTCAGTGGGCAAACGTACAAAATCAGCAGGGGATCAAATACTTCTTTCCCTCACTGTATGGTCCACGTTTCATAGCGCAAGCCTTTTGTGCTGATTGACAGGCCGAACAAAAAGCGTTTGGAATGGGTGAACTTGAGATTTTTAGGACAACGTTTTGTCAGTTGAAGTTTGGATGTTTAGCTAGCTAGTAAGATTGATGTCCACCGAAAATGCGGGAATAACTAGCTGGCTAGCTTGCAAACAGCTGACGGTGGCTGTCAAAAAACTAAGATAACATGGAAGGAGAAGACAAGAGGGTTGAGTTTTTACAGAACGTCACATTAATAACACTAGAATTGAAGCCGGACAAATGGCAGAAATGTATTGCGGGGATACCTTACAGAAATTAAATATATTACAGTACAGTGCATTCGGAAAGTATTCAGACCCCTTTACTTTTTCAACATTTTGTTATGTTACAGCCTTATTCTAAAATTGATTAAATTGTTTTTTTTCCCCTTATCAATCTACACACAATACCCCATAATGACAAAGCAAAAACCGTTTTTTAGAAATGTTTAGAAATGTATTACAAATAAAAAATTGAAATATTACATTTACATAAGTATTCAGACCCTTTACTCAGTACTTTGTTGAAGCACCTTGGCAGCGATTACAGCCTTGAGTCTTCTTGGGTATGACACTACAAGCTTGGCACACCTGTATTTGGGGAGTTTCTCCCATTCTTCTCTGCAGATCCTCTCAAGCTCTGTTAGGTTGGATGGGGAGTGTCGCTGCACAGCTATTTTCAGATTTCTCCAGAGATGATAGATCGAGTTCAAGTCCGGGCTCTGGCTGGACCACTCGGACATTCAGAAACTTGTCCCGAAGCCACTCCTGCATTGTTTTGGCTGTGTGCTTAGGGTCGTTGTCCTGTTGGAAGGTGAACCTTCGCCCCAGTCTGATGTCCTGAGCGCTCTGGAGCAGGTTTTCATCAAGGAGCTCTCTGTACTTTGCTCCGTTCATCTTTCCCTCGATCCTGACTAGTCCCCCAGTCCCTGCCGCTGAAAAACATCCCCACAGCATGATGCTGCCACCACCATGCTTCACCGTAGGGATGGTGCCAGGTTTCCTCCAGACGTGACGCTTGGCATTCAGGTCAAAGTGTTCAATCTTGGTCAATCTGATCAATTGAATTTACCACAGGTGGACTCCAATCATGTTGTAGAAACATCTCAAGGATGATCAATGGAAACAGGATGGAACTGAGCTCAATTTCGAGTCTAATAGCAAAGGGTCTAAATACTTATGTAAATAAGGTATTTCTGTTTGTTTTATTTTTTAGCAAAAATGTCTAAACAACTTTTCGCTTTGTAATTATGGGGTATTGTGTGTAGATTGATGAGGATTTTATTTTATCCATTTTAGAAGGCTGTAAAGTAACAAAATGTGGAAGAAGTCAAGGGATACTTTCCGAATGCACTGTATATCTTGAATATATTTACATTTTGTTAAATGTATTGTGGAATATATTAGAGTAACAATATGCAAAAATATATTGTACATAATATATAAATAATATATATTTGAGATATCTTTTTGGTAATATATCCAGTGTTGAGACCATATTCTACATGTATTATTCACAATATATTTGAAAATGTATTGATATAAAATATTCCTATATCATTTGAACTATCACCATTCATATAACATTTTGACACTTAACAAATATATAAACACCTCAACGCCAAGAGGCCTGAACCTCTTGACAAGGTTCCTAGGTGTTGGGTTAAGGTTGCTACATTAACCCCTACCTCCTCCGATGGCCTCCATCCCAGTTCAGACACCAATGTAGCAAATTCAGGGGGTTTCCCCGACCGGGACTCAAACCCTGGTCTAGCAATTGTCAAACTAACACTTTAACCGTTACGCCAAGAGGTCTGAACATCCTGACAAGGTCGCTAGGTGTTGGGTTAAGATCGCTACAATATACTGAAACATTTTCAGGTAATGCTTAATTATTGATTGCTGTACACTGAGAATTCACAAAAAAAGCACATATATTTGTATTTATTTATAAAAGGCAGCAGATACACGTT